TAGCGCGGATGGGACTACCATTCCATTATCACCCATTTAAAAAAAAAAACATTATGATCCTATTTCAAACATTTGTATTTATTACATAATGACATCGACTTACAAATGCTACCAAAATATACCCATAACTTCGCTCGAATGATGCAAAAAAAAAAATACGCAAATACCGGCGTTCGCAACGCCTAAACCCAAACATTCAAGGCAGGGGGACATTATATTGATATACGGCGTGAGAAACATTCAGTCGCCGCCGGTTTCGAATTTATATCCTCGTAAATCAACGGTATTCATAGGTGTTTTGTACACGGGCTCATATGCGAACACCTTTGGTCATTAGCCGGGAAAACGGGGTCGAATGGGGGGCGAAAAATTTGCGCTCCAATGTTGGCACCCCTGGTTGTCGTTGATTGTCAATGTTGCCGTTTTCTGATAAGGATACAATAATAAATATGGCTGTATTCCCGATCCTCGCATCGTTTACGGTTTCGATATTTGAAATTGCTTTAAATACAAAATGGAATAGAACAGAAAATATTTATTATTTATAATATAAAACAATTTAAATTTAGAAATTAAATTTATTGTAATTTATTTATAAGCGTCTGGTCTTTGCACACGACTTCGTTTACCAAGATTGTGGATTAGGTTTGGTATTTTAAATGTTAATGAAAAATATATAACAGACTATATATTATAATAAAGATACAAACATACAAAACGTATGAACCCAAAACAGTAACTGTAATAAATAAATAAAATAAAAATAAATAAATATAAAATGTGAAACAACTCATATTTTGTGAAACAATATCTCGAATTATCTGTCTTTAATATTTAGTATACTTTCCTTTCATGTCTCACGGGGTACTTAGTTATAATCCGACGTTGTATTAACTTTCAGACAGGATAAATAACTTAAGGGTATCGCGTTGAAAACTTAGAAATTACGTACATGTTATGTACCTGCGTACTCGTGTTTATTTATTTATTTTCGTTACAATACCTTCAACTCTGCTTACAACACTTCAGTACACGCATATATAAACTTATAACTAGAAATTGTACATTTACAGACAGAAATAATAGGTGAAAATTAAAAAAATATTTGCAATTATTGACAATATTGCTGTAGTTTTCAATAGTATTGTTTAATTTTGCGTTTCCTTCACTTGTATTATACATTTGTGCAAATTTAAGCGGCTGTCAAGTTATTATTAAAGTGCGTCATTATGTATTTTGTTTGCCTTAAATAAATCAATAAATAAAACAGCTGGGCTGCTTCTTCTTGACTACAACTGCAAAACAAAAAAAGAAGACAAAATTCTTCAGTAATAATAAAAAATGTTTAAAATTCTTAATTATCTAAATACAAAAAAAAATGTCTATATATAAATGTATTACGTGAATGAATAGACAGCAATATCCAACAGTTGCCAACCCGCCTGCCAAGCGTGGCAATTACTGGCAAAACCCCCCTTATGCGGGAGTTTATGTTCAACAGTGGACTAAACTGTTTCAACAAATGTATTTCAATATGTTAACTAATTATATATAAACAAATTTATGTATCGCTTTCTCTGTTCGCCCAATGGTGGACTGGTAGAGAACACATTTCAACATTCCGATATTAAATCCGACACATGTACCTAAGCATTTTTGTTTACCGCCACTAATCAGTAATACTGTGTTTATATAACCTATCTGTGTACCAAATTTAATTTAAATCCGTTTAGCTTTATGCGTAAACGAGTAACTAACATCCATTCATATGTACTTACAAACTTTCACGTTTATAATATTAGTAAAATATATATTATATTGTATAATAAAATATTTATATAAAAGTTGTGTACTAAATAAATAAAAAATCAATTTATTATTTCTTAATAGAAACAACTATACTATTTCCTCTTCTTATTGTACGCGCACTGCCCTGGTAATTAATGATCCTTTCCACTTTTTTTTTTAATGGATGATAATGGAATGGTAATCCCACCCGCGCTATCGGTATACACCGGCGGGCACCAGTGAAGGATGATAGGTGAGTATGAAGCAGGTCAGTTAGCCCATCGTGACGAATTCAACAAGAATTGTTCACGATGGTTTTCAGGGGGGACCACGTGGAGGTTGACCTGATAGAGTGTATTGCTAGCAATGAGGTTGTTAAATCTCATTACTAACAATATCTTTCCCCCGGCTCCTTTCCACTCAGGGTTTACTGGAAGAGAACTCTTGCAGAGTTAAGTTCGCCTGTTGTACATCTTTATTTAATAAAGTAAAGTAAGTAAAGTATTAAACATTAATATAATAAAGTAGATATAAATAAATAAAATATATAAAAAATAAATTCTTTCTATATTCAAATTATATTAGGCGGTTTTATGATTTATCATTTAACAAAACAAATCAGGAACCTCTCTCTTTTTGAAGTTGGTTGAAAATTAATCACGATGATTTTAAAAAAGGACCGCGTGGGAGACTGTACAAAAGCCGTTTGCTTGGGTACCTCTGTCCCATTCGTGTTTCAACCGTAAAGCAGTTGTGTTTGCATGGCTGTGTTTCGGTTTGAAAGGTGCGATATGGCGTGAATTTACTGGGTGCAGAGGAATAACACCCGAGTCCTTAGGAATGGCAACGCATGGGGGGTATCATGGGCGAAACAGTATACTCTGTTATGTCCATGGTACCTGCTCATGTCTATAGGCGTCGGTTACCACTTTCCATTAGATGGGCCGTCAGCATGTTTGCCATTCTAAGTTGTATAAAAAAAAGTGGAAGTCGGCTACAAATTGCTAGCAATGGGGCTGTTAGTCCCCGCTATTACAATTTCCTTCCTGTCCCTGCGACAGACGGTTTGCAGGTACCATTTGTTGTCCCGCAACGTAGACAGCAAACAACAAAAGATGTTTACCGAATTGAGTGTCAAAACATGGACCGTGGGAATCCATTAGTTCTGTACTCTAAGCTCCGTATACGAAGCAAATAAATAAAACTAAGTAAGTAAAAGGTGTCAATGTGACATGATTTATTTCCCTGATTTTATATATTTATACCTTATTCATACCACAGATAATATAAACACTACAGACGTGAAAGGAGACTGTTTGTTTGTTACCTATTTGCGGCTTAATTTGCCATATAATTAGTACTTACATATATAATGGTTAGCTGGTAGAGAATGCCATATGGCATTAAGCTCGTCATTTGTACAAAGATTTATTGTGCAATATCTTTATTGCACAATAAATCTTTTGAATTAATATATTTTATTTATTTATTCTTATAAATAAATAAAATAAATTACTTAAATACTTAAAAAATAAAATAAAGTAATATATATATATATAGTATATATATATGTATATATATATATATATATATATATATATACATATGTATATATATATATATATATATATATATATATATATATATATACATATATATATATATATATATACATATGTATATATATATATATATATATATAATATGTTTACCAACAGCAGTATTTCTGAAACATCATAACCTTCAAGAGAAGAGTATATTCTTCCTTTTAAAAGTTTTATTCATCACAAAAGAGTAAACTTGGCGATTGTAAAATAATTATTAAAATCGGCTCAAAATTGGCGATAATATTGCATAACGTACACAACAAAATACTTTTTCTTTAATAAATCACTTAGTAACTAAATCGCTACACGGCAGAGGTGCCCAAACTTGTTTATAGAGCCTGCCGTGACCAAGCACTATAATAAGTGTAAAGGCACAATAACTCAAGTATTTTACTATCCACAATCGCTTGATTTAATAAAACACTCCATAGCAGAAACCTATCAGAGCTATGTTCTAACAAAAAAAAACGGGACCTTTACTTTTACAACAGCTACTAAAACTTTTTTATGGGTGGCAACACTCGTAAAAGGTATAAATAAAATATAGCGAGCGGCAACACTGACGGGCGGCGGGGTATCGCAATAATTTCCACGTTTTTGGCGATCCGAGAGCTCGCCTCTTTTCGATTATAATTTATAGCTTAGAATGAGGGCTGCTTGCTATCATGCCTATACTAGAACGTATAAAATGTCATAAATACTGTCATAAAATTGTTTGCCTCGAATGCTGCACGGTAATCAGATCACGTAACCGGCTAACCACTCTATACGCTAATAAAAACTGTACCTACGGATAAAGCCGCCGATACGTCTTATTGCGAATGGAATATGAATCTACGGCGTGGAATAAAGACGTATATACTAAGAGTTTGAGCGTTTTATAATCAAAGGTAATACATATAAACGCGATTCATTATTATTTGACCTTGGGCGTATGGGCGTGGCGTTACCTTCCCCCCGCTACCTGCTATGAATTATCGCGATGATATAGAGTACTTCAATGTACAGAGACGTTTCGTTACACGAATATGATCAGAAATTGATTATTGAAATTAATGTAAATAAACCTTTTCGTGTTATAGATACAAATAAGTATAAAATAAAAAAGCCATACTCGCCAGTAAGTAGCTGGTAGATATAATTGCAATTTTTTTTTATACAACTTAAAATGACAAACAGGCTGACGGCCCACCTCATGGAAAGTGGTAACCGTCGCCTATAGACATGAGCAGTACCATGGACATAACAGAGTATACTATTTCGCCCATGATACCCCCCATGCGTTGACATTCCTGAGGACTCAGGTGTTATTCCTCTGTACCCTGTAAATTCACGCCATATTCCACCCTTCAAACCGAAAAATATCGCAATATCATTATCTAAACTAACGTTTTATACTATAATAACGTCATACAGTTTTTTTTTTTTTTTTTTGCGGGTAGATGTGTAAGAAGTAACAGCTAAAATTTTTGTCTCCAAATATAAGTGTTATTTTAAATTATATATATTGTATAAGTGGTTATATATTTATGTGTATATTAATAGTCTAGCTAATATCTACCTGCAGTGATATTATTTCCTTTCTTTCACTCCTATAATCTCATAATGGACGCACTACAACAATCAATGAACACAATGATGGAGCTTCTTAACGCAAAGATGGTAACATTCCAAGAGGATCTCCAAAGGATAAGTACTACACCAGCCACAATCTCCTCATTGGCGGCAGACTTCACCGCCTTTCGGTCATTTGCAGCTGAGGTGATGAACAACCTACAACATCAGGTACAAATACTTGCACGTCAAATGGAACAACTTGAAATGCGCAGTCGACGCAAAATCTTGCTGTTCCATGGGGTTCAAGAGCGTGGGAGCGATGACTCTGCTTCGGAAGTAGTCAGAATTGTAACTGAGCACTTTAAACTTCCTGACTTCTCTGCAAATGACATCAGTAGAAGTCATCGTCTGGGACGATCAAGCGCTGACAAACCAAAGCCTATTTTAGTAAAATTCCGAAGTGCAGCTACTCGTAATAAAATATGGTTTGCTAAGACAGCATTGAAGGATAGCGGCGTCACTATGTCAGAATTCCTGACCAAGTCTAGACATGATGCATTCATGGCTGCTCGTCAACAGTTCGGAGTGAAGAGATGTTGGACTCGGGACGGCTATGTGATTGTAATTACATCAGATGGTTTAAAACACCGAGTCAGTACTGTCGACGAAGTTCAAAAACTCATCCAGGTTTCTGCTGCAGTACCAGTAGATTCAGGTACCACAAAGGCTTTAGGAAAGACAGACCCCGCCAAGGTCACTGCTGCTGCTTCGTCTCGCCTAAAACGGGACAAGAAGAAATGACGGGATATTGTACCTAAAATAATCTTATTGTTATTGTTGCTAAACATGACTTAAATGTACTATCATGATTATTGTTTTATGTACCTACGCTTATCACTAAATGTTAATAATGCCCATCCGTTACGCTATTTTTTTTTTTTTTTTTGTTATATGTATAGTTTTTTTCACTGAGGAAGGTATCGTTGATTAATGTATATTAAAGTAAACATTGACTATTATTCCGCTGACAGATTGGAGCAAAGAACACCTATACCTCCATATTAGAGAGACTAAGTTAGAGTTAGAATTTTTTTTTTTCTACCTACACCTTTCAATTAATATATTATGTATCTGTCAATATCATACTAGCTGTCAACAGTCAAAAGTATAAGGCTAGGACCACAAGCACTGTTCTTAATCTATGATTATAATGTACATGAAATAGGGTGACTGAGATATTTATTGTGTTACATTCATTTTCACTTATTATTTTTTACTCTAAATAATGTGCGTAATTTTAATTCAACTTTTATATTGTATCTACATAACTTTCCACTGATGGGTAGATATAGCAACCTTGTAGCATTTGCATTTTTTTTTCTGTTTTTTTTTTAAGTTTTTATTTTCTTTTGTTGATTTATTATTATTTTTTTTTTATTATAATTTATATTATTATTTTTGTTGCACACAAATATGAATGATGAACTTGACGAAAGTTACCATACAATCTTCTCAGCTACAGATGATAGTTATCACAGTGTTTCTACATCTTTAGATGAAATCTTACAAACTAAATTCTTGGACGTTCCTAACAATTTCAATGTCTTACATATTAACGCGCAGAGCATACCAGCACATTATCCTGACATGTTAACGTCTTTCAATGTAAAAAATATCCACGCTATTCTTGTCTCCGAGACATGGTTGAAGCCATGTCTCCCTTCCCCTTCATACTCTTTACCAGGGTTTAATTTAATTCGCAACGATCGTACTGGCAAGGGTGGTGGTGGTGTTGCTATTTATCTTCGTTCCCATATTCCCTATAATATAGTTTGCTCTTCAAATAGTCTTGATCCTTCAAAGGAAGCCGAATATCTTTTTATTGAAGTCTCCCTCTCTCACTCCAAAGTTTTACTAGGAGTTTTTTATAGTCCGTCTTCCACTATTAATTATTTTTTTCCTTTAGAAAATCTTCTAGAAAACATAATTCCCTCTTATGAACACACAATTATTATGGGAGACTTCAATACTTGTCTCCTTAAAAATGACTATCGATCAAATTGCCTCATGAAAGTAGTTGACGCCTGCAATCTCGATATTTTACCGCTTCAAGCTACCCATTTTTTCCCTAATTGCTTACCTTCTTTACTTGATCTTATCATAGTTTCCTCTCCTCTTCTCGTCGCAAAGCATGGCCAATGTACTGCTGATGCATTCTCTTGTCACGATCTCATTTTTCTTTCTTTCAAAACCCGTCCCCCAAAACATAAACACAAAATCCTTATGCAGCGTAACTTCGGAGCCATAGATATTGATCTTCTGCGAAGGGAAGTACTGGATATGGACTGGGCATTAGTTCATAGTGCCAATACTGTTGATGATCAGATCGTAATATTTAATAATCTCATCACTGAGGTTTACGACCGTCATGCGCCTGTCCGTCCAGTGCGTGTTAGACATCTACCTGCACCTTGGTTGACAGATGAAATTAAAACCATTCAGGCGAAAAAGAACAGAGCCAAGTCTAAATTTAAATCTGATCCCACAAAATATCGTGAACAGTATATACGTGTTAGAAATCACTGTAATAAGGTGTGTAGAGAAGCTCAACGACGCCACTTTCATAAATCTGTCGAAAATGGCAACCCAACCAAAGTTTGGAAATTTCTGAAGTCGGTGGGGATTGGTAAGAACCAAAGTTATGGCTCCCAAAATATTGATATTAACAGCCTTAATAGGCATTTCTGCTCTTCCGCTGTTATTGATAACACCACTAAAACAAACACGATTAATTACCTTTTTTCTATTCCAATCCCTGACTATTCGCCTTTTTTCTTTACTCCAGTTGCGGACTGTGATGTTGAGAAGAGCCTGCTAACTATTACTTCTAATGCTGTGGGGTCAGATGACATAAGTCGTACTATGATCCTTCCCATTCTTGACATTGTCCTTCCCATTATTACATTGGTTTTCAATAATTCCTTGTCCTCGGGCGTTTTCCCTTCTGTCTGGAAAAACGCACATATACTTCCTCTCCCTAAAAAACCCAATCCAACATCTTTTTCAGACTTCCGTCCAATTTCCATTCTTCCATTTCTTTCTAAAGCTCTCGAGCGACTTGTCCATCAACAACTAAATGAATTCCTATCCAAGAATGATCTTTTTAATCCCTTCCAATCAGGTTTCCGTGCCGGTCATAGTACGACTACTGCTCTTGTCAAAATCACCGACGATATCCGTCATGGTATGGAAAACTCACAGCTTACGGTTTTAACATTGTTAGACCTAAGTAATGCTTTTAATACTGTCGATTTTGATATATTATTAGGAAGATTGCGTTCTCTCAACATATCTCCAGCCGTAATTGAGTGGTTTCAAAGTTACCTGAATGGGCGCCAGCAACGCATTCATACTGAAGATAGCTCTTCATCATGGTGTCGCACGCTAGCTGGTGTACCTCAGGGTGGCGTCTTATCTCCTTTACTTTTTTCGTTATTTATTAACACCATCACTATTCAACTTCGCTCTTCCTACCACCTTTATGCAGATGATCTTCAAATTTACTCACACGCTCCATTTCATGAGTTAGACTCTGCAATATATTCAATAAACAAAGATCTGGCACACATTTCGAGCTGGTGTAAGTCATTTGGATTAACTGTAAACCCTAATAAAACGCAGGCTATTATTATCGGGAGCCCCAACTATATTTCAAGAATTTGCTGGGAAAATCTGCCTAATATAATGTTCGACGGGATATCTGTGGACTATAAAGATTTTGTAAAGGATCTCGGAATATATCTTGACAGAACGCTATCCTGGAGCACCCAAATAACAGAGATCAGTAGGAGGGTCTTTGCGATTGTGGGCTCACTCAGAAGATTACGTAATTTTTTACCTATGGCCACTAGAGTTGCGCTTGCTCACTCCCTTGTCCTTCCTGTCCTTGACTATGCTGATACCTGCTACATTGATCTCACCGAAGACCAACTTAATAAACTTGAGCGTCTCCAAAACCTGTGTATTAGATTTATATTTGGACTTCGTAAATACGACCACATCTCTAATTTTCGCACTCAGCTCAAGTGGCTCCCAATACGTCGACGCCGAGATTGGCATATATTATCTCTTCTTTATTCCATTCTATTCAATCCTCTTACACCTCACTATCTTAAAGAGCGATTTATATTTCTCGGTGAAGTTCAGAGTCACGCTTCGCGTACCTCAAATAGTCTCCGTTTAAAAACCCCAGCACATACCTCCGTGTACTACACCAAATCCTTTTCCGTTCAGGCAGTGCGCCTATGGAACTCACTGCCACCGTCTATACAGAGTGCGCAATCCTTGGCTTCGTTTAAAGGACAAGTCAAATCACATTTTCTTTCACTGTAGTTACTCTTTTCCACTCCTTTGTAATTTTTGGACTAGATTTGTCATATTTCCTTGTGTGTGCTATGTATGTATTTATATGTGTATGTTTATGTATTTTGTATGTATGTTATATGTGTATATGTATGTATATATATATATGTATGTGTATGTGTATGTATGTATGTATATATATTGTTATAGTAAGTAGTTTAATAAATTATATGTATTTGATATTTTTGTGCATTACATGTTTTTGTATTTTATGCACGAAAATTGTTGATTCACTCTTGCGCCACCTGCCCTTTTCTATCTGTTCTCCCTTAACTAAAGGTTGTCTGTAAGAGATTGCCCTAGCGATAAGACCGCCTTTTGTACCTTTATGTGTATATTTCAATCTGTATTTATGTTACTGTATTTCATTTGAATTATTCACTTGTCATTGTATATTTTTATTTATGGTGCAATAAAGAGTTAAATAAAATAAATAATACAGATATCACACATACTAGCTAATAACTAAGAACACATTCAGTGCCGGTTTGAATAGTTATTTTTTCATAGTTTTTTTTTTTTAATTCATTATCTTTGGCCAGAAGCCTAAACAAACTTTAACGGTTTCCATAGAGTATCAATATCTTGAGATCAATTTGTGATATGGCGACATTATGGCGGGAAAACGCGATGTTCTTTTTTTAAATACAAGTACTGTCTCACTGCTGAACAAAGACTTTTACCACATTCTTTAACATACCTAGATGACAACACGCAAAACTAATATTCGAATATTTTTTTAATATTATGAATTCATTCATCTTATCTATGACTAATATATAAAGCGAAGGAGTTTGTTTGACTGTCTGTTTGTTTTTTTTTTTTACGCGCTGATATACGAAGTGGGATTTAAAAAATACTTTTTACATTTGATAGCAAACTTTTTATTGGTTATTCAATATCACGATACCATAATAAAATGAAAGATAACTCGGTTTGTATATTTTATCACATGAACATTTTTTTAAAGTCGGTAATGGGAATATTCAAAGGTGTGTTTCACGTAATAAAAACATTCCTACCGCTAGAGGATGAAACCCGGATACCGGAAACGGAAAACATATACCCAGGGCGATAGCATCAGACTAATCTTTTTGGGGGACAACAAACTGTTGTGTTTAGGTGAAATATTTATAATAAACAAGTGTTTATCTACGACTTTGTTCGAGAGTCTGAAATGAGTATAAAAAAAAAGTACTGCGCAACAATCTGTTTTGATACCGCAAAACAAAGCAACTACTTCAATCATTACAAAATTTACACGAGACCTGCACAATAAATATCTCTATTGATTGCAAAAAGAATTATCGAAATCAGCTCAGAATTGGTGAAGATATCGCTTAACAAACAAAAACTAAAAAGAAATTTCTTATTAGAAA